TGACAGGGCTGGGTTCTGAACCCAGGCGCCCTGGTCTCAGAGTCTCTGCGTGAGGCCTACAGGACGGGCCCTGTGTGCTCAGTCTGTGGGAGTCTATTACCAGCTTTGCTCTCTGTGAGCAGTATTTATAATGGACAAGGAATGAGTCCTACCATCTACCAAACTGGGTTAGAATCCAGAATTCACCATTTAATAGTGATGTACCTATTAAAAATTTTTTAAATTAATTTATTTTTCTTATAGATGTTTCTCCTTCCCCCCCCATTGACACCCTCCTCCCCATCCACCACCACCCCCAGCCCCAGCCCCCACATTATTGTCTATATCCATTGGTTGTGCATACATACATATAAGTTCTGTGGTTTATCTCTTCTATCCCCCTCCCCTTCTGCGGTTTGTCAGTCTGTACCCTACTTCTATGTCTCCGGGTCTAGTTTGTTTATCAGTTTGTTTTGTTCGTTTTATTCCAGAAATAAATGAGATCATGTGGTATTTGTCTTTCTCTGGTTAGCTTGTTTTGCTTAGGATAATATTCTCCAGATCCCTCCATGTCATATCAAAGGATAAGAGATCTTTCTTTCTTACAGCTGCATAGTACTCCATTGTGTATATGTACCACAGCTTTTTTATCCACTCCTCTGCTGATGGACACTTGGGCTGTTTCCAGATCATAACAGAACATTACAATCTTTTACGATTGTAAATAGGGCTGAACAGCGATGTAACTTAAGCAGGTGCTTTAGCTCTTCGAGGCTATTTTCTCATCTGGAAGATGAGTACGAATGTGCCTGCCTCAGGCGCCTGCTGGGAAGGCTTAAAAAAGTTAGGCAAGTACTTGGTCCGGTGCCTGACACAAGGCTGGGTTTCAAGAAATGTTCACTGACTTCCCTTCTCCCTCCGCCTTTCCTCCCACCTCGGAACCCAAAACGTTTCTTCCAGTTGCCTCTTGAGTGACTTTGCAAACGCTATTTTCCGCACAATTGGCAGACACCTTTGACTGAACAAATACATTCTGGGGAAATGAGAAGGTTTTCCTGCTGCATGGAAGGAAGCACAGATGTTAGGCTTTGGCGAACAATGAGTTGAACACGCCCCACATTTGAAATTGAGGAAATCTGTGCTATTCCTTGAGGGAATAGAAGCAGGATTCACAGCTGTGGTGTCCCGGCGGATCCCAGGGCAGCTGCAGCGCACCGACGGCCTGGGTGCTGGGTGGGGCGCCCACAGCTGCAAGTCAGTTGTTACTAAGGAAAGATGTGCTGAAGCCCGTGACTCACACGCACAGTGTGCATCGGACTGGACGTGCTTTCTCGAGGGGAGAGGGGGCAGGGCCTCGCCCTCCGCGATCGTACACGGGTGGGCCTTCGGGAGTCTTGCAAGTGAAAGTCACCCCCAACTAAAAATGACGGCGTACGCTGTTTAAGACATTTTTAGGAAATCCAGAACAACTAATTTTTATATCCACTCACTTCTGGGAAGTTTTGAGGGGATCATAAAAGAAGATATGGGTACCTTAAGCAAAAATGGAATCTATAACTCAGAGCAATACAAATTCTGGTCGTGGTGGCCGAACAAGGGATATAGAAAGCGAACTAATCCAGAAAACCCAAGCTGAAAGGGGTCCTTGACACTGAGCGGGAAATAAAACTCTGAGTCTCCTGGCAGTGAAGGCAAAAAAAACTATACAATGCATTCTGTGCCTTTCATTATTTCATTGATTAAAAGGGGGGGGGGGGGGGGCGGGAGCATAGCCAAACTTCATCCTAGCACTGAAGTCCAGGTGGAAATTATCTATAAGGTTTTTGGTGGTTTTTTTTTTTATCCTCACCCGAGGACATTTTTCGATATTTTGTTCAGATAGAGTGTGAGGAAGAGAGAGAGAAACATTGACATGAAAGGGACACATCAAGTGGTTGCCACCCGCATGACCCAACCAGGGCCAGGGACAAACTGCAACCGAGGTACGTGCCCTTAGTGGGAACCAAACCCGGGTCTCTCTGGATCGCAGGCCAACGCTCTAACCACTGAGCAAAACCGGCCAGGGCTAAAATAAATATATATGTGTATTTTTGGTACGTGCCCTTAGCAGGAACCAAACCCCGACTCCCTGGTACACAGGCCGACGCTCCAACTACTGAGCCAAACCGGCCAGGGAGGTTTTTTGGTGTTTTTAAAAAATATTAAACAACATAATTAATGTCTATGGCGGTTTTACAGAGAATGTAAAGTTGTTCTTCACCTGATCATTTCTTAACATGACACAGGATAAATGATCTGAGAAAACGTCTCTGTTGAGTATCAGAGTAATCTTATCCAGAAGAGAATGTTGTGATCAGAGAAGGAAAAGTTTCGTACCTTGCATATTAACATCGCTGACTGTTTTGGCAACATCTAACTGCCTCCCCCCACTCCCTTAAATGCAAAGAGAAACATTATTTGAGAGCCTTATTTAATAACTCTTTAATAGGAGTACGTTTATCACTGAACAATTTGCTGTGTATGCAGGACATCTGAAATGCAGCCTGTGGAAGGGAAGAGAAATACAATTTTGGGCTTCTATTTGGATAAAAGGTGTTGAGGTGGAAAGTATTTGTGAAAAGTCCAAGGAGATTTTCACATCTAGAAAAACAAAACCTCAATTGTCGAGTAAGTTCTATTTTGAACAAAAGCTGGAGTGTTTCTGAAGTTAACAACAGCAAAAAGGGAGCCTGTTTTGAATTAAAAAGAAGCAGGGTGAGACAGAAGTTAAGAACAGAAGAATCACCATAGTTTTCCTAAATTTATCATCATCACTAAATGTACTAGCTTCTTAAGGGTAAAGACAGTTTTCAGGTGGTCAAAATTTACTAGCTAGTCACTGAATTTATTCACCCTTCATTATTAAACTTGGCCCAAATAAGCTTTAGAAACTTCAGAGTCAAGGGCAGAACCTGGGGTTCAGCCCAAGTCACCTGCACCCCGAGCGACTCCAGAACCTCCTGTCTTCCAGAATGAGCAGCCTCTAACCCACCCGCAGCCCGGAGCCCACCTGCAATCTTCGGATGCTGCTCAGATCGTCGAGCTAACACTGTTTGCAAAAGGCCAAGGTTCAATTTGTAAGAAAGACTGGGAACCCCGAACACTCGTGCTCAGGGCACAGGCCCCGCCAGGCAAAGCCAAGGCCCGCCGGCCCCACTGGGACTGTAGTGGGATAAGAGGCACTGAGGCCCCCCTGCCTCACCAATGGCCAAGGCTGCACCAGGGTGGGGAGACCCTCTGGGACCCGGGGGGTGGGAGGGCCCTGGTGGTGGGCACGGAGCCCTGTCCAGCACCCAGCAGACTGCAGACAAGGGAATGTGTCCCTGAGAGAACCTGCCACACATGCTGTGGCCCCAGGCTGCTAAACACAGACGTGATCTGGTTCCAGGTTGCAGGTTCTTAGACGTGTGGTCTGTCCCCTGCGTGGACAGTCTGCTAACCCTGAACAGACCCGGCCAGTCGGGGCACCACCTTGTCCAAAGCTCCCACTCTCAGTCTTGCTGGGGCAGTGGCAGGACAGAAAGGGGCTTTGGGCCTCGGTCAGCTCAGCTGCAGCCATCACACCGAGTCAGTCACTCCGCCTTCCCAGGCTCATTCCTGTCCTGTGAAATGGACGACAGGGACCTAAGCTTCCTGCGCACCCGGGTTGTGAGGACCCTGCGAGGCAACAAATGTGAAAATACTTTGAAAATGGCAACCTTGCTTGCCATAAATTAACTCACTGGGGACTCTCCTTTCCTTCTTGATGCCTTCCTAGATCAGAGTTGATTTTGACCATTGGGTTTTCTTAGTTTATTTTAAATTTATCTTTGCTTCCCACACCTAAAAGAAGCACTTGACCTGTGGTTTCATATTTCTCCTCTGCTGTTTATAAGTTCTGTCTGCTCAGGCTCGGAGGTCCAGGGCCAGATATAAAGTTTCTCTGGATGGGGCCTGCTTCAGAACTACTTTTATATTCTGTTCTTCAAAGATTTAGAATTGAATTGATGGTAAAAATAATTTTAGGTATTTTAACCTTTGCATAATAATATTTTTTCTATGTGTAAAAAATAAGGACATAGTTGAGATTACTCAACTCAATGTAATTTAACTCATAGACTAACTCTATGTAATTTTGTACCCTATATATTTTTTTAGTATTTTAACACATGTTACTATTTTTCCACAGCATTTAAAAATGTATGTGAATATCATTTGTAATGGCCATTTCTCCATTTAGTAGGCCATACTATATTTTACTAAATCATTCCCCTACTGTTAGATGTAAGAGTGCTTTCTCATTTTCTGCTGCAATAAATAATACTGCAATGAACTTCTCTTTTCATACAGATTTTTCTACTTTCTGTTTGCTTCCTTAGAATAAATTTCTGTAAGAAGACTTCTGGGTCAAAGGTTATAAACATTTTCTTTTTTGTTTGTTTTCCATAACATTCTTATTTCAATAATTTTACTTTTCATCTCCAGAGTTGCTATTAGGTTCCTTTTTATAGTTTATCTTTTATGATATTTTCATTTTATCCATACACCATTTTCCTTATTCCTATAGTTCTTTGTTCATGTTATCATTTAGTTCTTTATGCATATTTGAGTTATTTTATTTATTTATTCATTTATTTTTAATTAATTTATTTTTGTTACAGATGTTTCTCCTTTTTTCCCCATTGACACCTTCCTCCCCATCCCCCCACCACATCCCCAGCTTTGTTGTCCATGTCCATCGGTTATGCGTACATGCATATAAGTTCTGTGGTTTATCTCTTCCCACCCCCCACCCCCTCTTCTGAGGGTTGTCAGTCTGTACCCTACTTCCACATCTCTGGGTCTACCCTGTTCTTCAGACTATTATGTTCATTATATCCCACAAATAAGTGAGATCATGTGACATTTGTCTTTCTCTGCTTGGCCTGTTTTGCTTAGGATAATACTCTCCAGGTCCCTCCGTGTCTCTCAAAGGACAAGAGATCTTTCTTTCTTACAGCTGCAAAAATATGGAAGCTTCACGATGTGCGTGTCATCCTTGTGCAGGGCCCACACTAATCTTCTCTGCATCCTTCCAATTTTAGTACATGTGCCGCTGAAGCCAGCGCTGTAAACATTTTCAAAAGACTTTTTGATGTGAGGATATAGAGGGTAGCACTGAAATAGGTTGGAGCAATAAGGATTTCTCCAAATAACTATGATTGACCTGAAAAGATGACAGAAAAGGAGGAGAATGGCATGGGGAACCTTCTAGAGCTTTAGGGCCTTGTTCTGAATATATATACATATATATATACACATACATGTGTATTCATATATATACACCTATATTAATTTTCATAAATATGTGAAATAATTGTATGCTTTAGAGTCTCACCCCTGAAAGTGTCTGGTAGTGGGGGTGACAACCACGAATTCCAAAAGCAAATCGCAGCTTCTCAGTAGCAACTGGCTCCACCACTGTCCTCATGGTTCTGGTGACTGCAGAAGTAGAAAGGGTCTTAGGGAGGAAGAAACTGACGCTTAGCTCTCCCAGGACAGTGGTCCTTAACCCTGGTTGAGCATTATACTCACCTTGGGAGATTTTTTAAAATCCAGGGTCTACCCCCAGATATTCTCATTTCACTGGTCTGAGGGGGGGCCCAGGTTTCAGTGTGCTACAAAAGTCCCACAGGTGGTACCAGCATGACCTAGGATCGGGAAGTTCCGGTATAGCAAGAAAAGCATGGGCTTTAGAATCACTGATGTCTGGGTCAAATCCCACCTTTGCCATTTATTAGTTGTGTGATTCTGAGTAAATTAATGACTTCTCTCCTCCTGTACATCATAAGATTGTCATGAGGATTAAATGAAATTACATATGCAAAGTGTATTTTGAGGTTCCTGGCACAGGGTTGGCATTCAAAAATGCTGGGCTTTTTAGTAGGCACCTAAGGTCCCATAGCTAGTTAGTGGCAGAATTAGTGGCCTGTCAGAACAACGCTGTGCACCCAGTAGGGACTCAGAGAATGCTTCATGGAATTCTTTCTATAGGATGATCTTTGAACATGAATATGCATGTAACCGAGAAGTTCAAGTTCCATGTTGAGTTGTTATTAGAACAATAAGGAAGAGATTGATCTCATTTGCTAGGCATTAATTTGCATCTTACTTTTAGTTCTTTAGCTACAAAGGAACCCATATTTACTCTGATAAAACAATTGATGATGACTGAACCCCTGCTAGAAAAAAAGTTGTACTTTTTTGATTACATAAATGTATGAGCATGTTTATGTAACTTGTGTAACTAAGGCTATACCAGTTAAAAATGTCCTTTCAAAAAAATTGATAAGAAAATTGTAAGTAAGGCCCCTTAAGCAATGGGCTAATACCACTTCACATTTTTCACTAACTTTAGCCTACAGGTCTTTAGCGTAATATTTTCTGTCTCCATTCTGGATGGATGGATAAATAAATAGATAGATGATAGGTAGATAGATGATAGATAGATAGATAGATAGATAGATAGATAGATAGATAGATAGATGATAGATAGAGCTGGATTTTACTTTAAGAAACATGGGATTGAGGCCTGCCTGGCTCTGTCATTCACGATGTGTAAACCTTGGGTGTCATTTTTTCTTTGCTGTTTTGCCTTCTCACAAGTAAAATGAGGGTGTTCATGCCATGATCTGGCTTTCCCACAAAGTGAGTCTAGAATTGTGATGCTGATCAGTAGGACACAGTTATTAAATATTTATTAAGCGCCTGCTGTGTGCCCAGCACTGTAGTAGGAAGCTCTGTGGGAATTACGTAGTCCTGGGCCTTGATGGGGAGTAACTTGGGAGTCTAGGTAGAAGAGAAAAATCCCACATATGAGGAACAACTTAGGGACCAATTTCTGCCTAAGAGTTGTGGTAAGTCCAGCCCAAGTGACTCATGCAAGAAATAAATGGGAACATTTAACAGATGACAATCATGGAGACATGGAAAAGGAGTTGAAATTCAATTTCCTGCCTCTTGGCGCTTTATTTTGCTACAGTCTCTGACACAAAGTCCTGTGTAGTAATAACCTGAAACAAAGCTGTTTGAAGCTAGTTGGAGCCAGGCATTTTCCTAACAGCACATTCTAACCCTTTGTCCACGTTCTACATCCCTATTACTTTGCCCGGTTTCCAGCAGGCTCTGCACGCCCCGGGCTTAGCCCGCCCCCTGCAGACCCTGTGTGCCTCACACAGCTCTCCACAGAGCCCATACTGTGCAGAGAACACACAAAGGGGCACAGTATGCAAATGGCCGTGTAGGAAGTGTGGCAGCAGGAATGTTTGAGCTGTGCCATCTCACAGATGGCCACTGGGGGGGCAAGTCCTGAGATGTGAGTCACCACCCTTGGCAGGGCTGAGCAGCTGATGAGACTGGTGGGCATTTTTGTCTGACCCCATTCTGAGCAACTCCCCAAGTACTTCAATTACCCATCTGTAACAGTCTCTTCCAGCAGCCAGGAAAAGACAACAGTGGCGGCCTATATATCGAACCTCAAAAGTAAAGCTGTCTGGATTATGAAGATAGAAGAGGAAGTTTGAGAGACTCACAGTGAAAGGGTTTAACAAGAGCTGCCTGTGCAAGTGTTGATTCGGGGACTCTCGGAGCATTGGAAATGATTTCCTTAACAACGGAAGGAAAATTGACCCGGGGCATGAGTATTTTATTCATTTTTCAGATGAGTACAGCAGCATTGCCAAGAGAAAGAGAAAGTCTGCTGTAGCCCAGGGTTTTAGGTCTCAGCGCAGCCCTGGCCTGACTCCCTGTATGTTACTGCACAAATCGTCATCTTCCTGGGTCTCAGTTTATCCATCTGTAAACTGACGGGTTGATTCAGGTTAAACTGTCAGGTCTTTCCTGACTGGAACATCCTGATTCTACGCAGGCCATTTGGGGGTGACTAAAATGTTCATTGCTTCATCCAGAGAGATCTAACTTTGTGCAAGAGATGAATAAAGCATATTCATTGACTTTCTGACTAAGTGGGGCTGGGGCGCCTCCGTGCTGTGCGGCGCAGGGATGACAAGTCTCTGCCCGCCCCTGGGAAGAGAGAGCTATTTTGAGGCAGGGCTGATTAGAGATAAGGTGTCTCCTTTCTTCACAGGGCTCCAGCCCTGACTCACCCAAAGTTCTTGGGTTTAAAGCTTAACCCTTGATGGATGGATGTAGGCTAACCCCTCTGCTGCCTCTGTGAATGGCTTCCCAAGCCCCAGCTTTATCAGTGTCCCTAAAGAACATTCTTTGACCTCAACTTGCTTAGAAAGCGTCTCTGAAGTGCAGCCCTTGCTTGTAACCTCTCTCCTTGACATCTCTTGTTTGCTCTTTCCTGTTATTCCCAGAGTCTTCTGGGTTATATAAAGGGAATGTCTCAGTAATCCTCTTAACAGCAAAGAAATCCGGCCACCCATGTTAGGTTGGGGGATGGACGTGTCACAGGATTCTTGAAAGAGGCACTAGACAGAGTTGCAAAAGTCTTTTGCACGGAAAAGCTCAGAACATGACTGACACGGAAGACCACTAGAGTCATGCTGCTTCGAGTGCCAACAAAATTAAACCATAATGCACATTTATCCTAACATTTTAATTTAAAAACTTTTTAAAAATCAACATATGTATTCAATGTAACAAATGCTTGAGATTCCTGCTCCCCGCCCCCATTTATTTCCACTCTTGGTGTGTTATCTTTAATTGATTTGTTTATTTTTTGGCTTGGGAATGTTGAAAGCACTCTTGTGACACTTGACATGACAGAACTGTGGGGCTGTGGCTTGGGCTTCGCCTGACTTTATCCAGTCATTTCGTTCCCAACTAGCTGGATGCAGATGGGATTGTTAAAACTGACTCATATTTCAAAGACACTCGAGAGAGTTCACCTCTTATACAAATGTGCACCAAAGCCTTTTCTAATGAGAATAATCACTTTTCTGTTTATTTTTTAAATTAAGCTTTTGAATTTTAAGTTTTCTTGACGTAAGGGAGATAACGCAATGTGGAAATCACTGTTCTGGAGAGAGCTATGGAGTCACAATGACCCAAGGTCATGAGAAAATTATATTCACCCCTTTGAAGTTCTCTTTCTTTACCCGTGCAAACAGGATTGTGGGTACGTGTTGAACTCTCAGATACAGAGTTGGACGGCGTAACAACAAGAGGCCCGACTAGGCTCCAGAGCCCGAGTTCCAGCTCAGGTTCTGTTCTCAGCAATGGACAGAAAGGGCAGAGACAAGCACCTTGGAAAGGTCACTTTCTTCTCCATACCTTAGTTTCATCTACTCCCTGAGAAGTTTCTACAAAGTGGTCTCTATTTTCCTCTCAATTCTGATATTTTAGGATTTGAACGATTTATTGTTAGGAAGCAGCTACGAAGAAGAAGTTGGTGGTATTGATTTCATTGAAGTTATCAAGCAGTCTGGGCACTGTCCCATCTTGGTGCTGGCGAGGCTTCGTATAGGATAGGATAGAACATCCAAGCACTCATTTGTGCAACAAACACTTATGCACCTACTGTGTGCTAGGCACTGTGCTGAGGGACAGGGATACAGCTGTGAATAAAACCCAGCACCTGTAGGGAGCGCTCAGTTACACAGAGGAACTAGGCACGTGAAAACTCATTTAAAAAAAACCCATAAATTATTTATATATTTAATCCATTAGACGCTCAGTTTCTTTTATTTTCTTAACTTTTTTAGGTTGAGTTTATTGGGGTTACATTGGTTAGTAAAATTATATAAGTTTCAGGTGTGTAATTCTATAATACATCGTCTGTGTATTGTACTGTATATTCACCACCCCAAGTGGAGTCTCTTTCCATGCCCTCCTTTACCCCTTCTACTCCCCCACCCCTCTTTCCCTCTGGTAACCACACTGTTGTCTGTGTCAATGAGTTTTTTCTCTTTTCTTCTTTGTTGTTCAATCCCTCTACCCCCCCACCCTAGGCATGCCCCCCCCCCCCACAGCTGTCTGCCTGCTCTCCATCTATGAGTCTGTCTCTCTCTATATATATTTTTTATCCTCACCCGAGGACATTTTTCCATTTTTTTGTTCAGGTAGAGTGGGAGGGAGAGAGAGGAACAGAGAGAGAGAGAAA